AAAAAAAAAAAAAAAAAAAAACACACTTCCGGTTGCGAATCGCGGATATCGCGAGTAATCGAAACTTCGTTTCCCATAGGTAGTTGTTAACGCTTTGGTCCAAGCCATTCCATCCATCTTCAACGTGTTGCTGGTATGCCTTATTTTCTGGCTTATATTCGCCATCATGGGGGTGCAGCTGTTCGCTGGCAAATATTATAAGGTATAAGTGTCAAAATAGAAAAAAAAAAATCCGACCACCAGCAGTTTGCAAGCGGCGGCGTATTTTTTTATTTCGAACAATTGTTGCAGTGTGTCGACGCAAACAAGACGACAATCAGTCATGAGATAATACCGGATCGGAACGCGTGTTACGCGGAGAATTTCACGTGGGAAAACTCGCCGATGAATTTCGATCACGTCGGTAAAGCGTACCTATGCCTATTCCAAGTGGCAACTTTCAAAGGGTGGATTCAAATCATGAACGACGCGATCGACTCCAGGGAGGCAAGTAGAGACGCTCTCGCGCAGAAAGAGAAAAAAAAAAAAAAACAAATTATTCCTCTCTTCCTCTATTTCGATTTCGATCGCAACGCGACGTTTCTAACGACTCGATTTTTGCAGATCAACAAGCAGCCGATTCGCGAAACGAACATTTACATGTATCTTTACTTCGTGTTTTTCATTATATTTGGATCGTTTTTTACCCTCAACCTGTTTATTGGTGTGATCATCGACAACTTTAACGAACAGAAGAAGAAAGCCGGTGGTTCCCTCGAGATGTTCATGACGGAGGATCAGAAGAAATATTACAACGCCATGAAAAAAATGGGCAACAAGAAGCCTCTGAAAGCAATTCCTCGACCGAGGGTAAGTCGATCATCGCGCGCGTGATTGTCACACACGCCTCTGTAATTTATTAAAAAAAAAAAAAATAATAATAAAATACTCCAAACATCGGCGCGATCGCGCCAATGTATAATATTTCTTCCAATTTTTGTTCGCAGTGGCGTCCGCAAGGGATAGTGTTTGAAATAGTGACGGACAAGAAGTTCGATATGATAATTATGCTGTTTATCGGGCTGAACATGCTCACAATGACATTGGACCATTATCAACAGAGCGAAACGTTCAGCAATGTTCTGGACTATCTCAACATGATATTCATTGTGATATTCACCAGCGAGTGTCTCATGAAGATCTTCGCTCTGCGCTACCACTACTTCAAGGAGCCGTGGAACCTCTTTGATTTTGTTGTTGTTATATTGTCAATATTAGGTAATGTAACGTAATGGTTACTTCAGTCGTATGATCCGAGCGAAACGAAAAATCAAATGTTGAACAAAGATAACGGCCTGTTGGCTTCCTTTCTTTTCTCGCTACGTTTTCGATCTAATCTACGTAATAAGCGGGAATGACACACGTAATACATCCTTCGCCTTGTAACATGTCTATCTCTCTTTAGAGTAGTATCACATTTCTCACGGAAAGGGACAAAATCGAAATGGCATGCCACGCTGTAATGTTATTCTCTCTCTCTCTCTCTCTCTCTCTCCCACTCTTCCGTGCTTATCTACCATAGTGCACGCAAAAACAAAATCTCTTTTTCGATCGATCAAGTGAACAGGCCCAACGTTTCGCTCGTGTCTCAACGACTGATAGATGTCATTACGTTACGTAGCCTTACATTGATGTGTCACCAAACCTCTCTCGCCCCTAACCATAAAAAAAAAAAAAAAAATCATCGCTCCCTTACCCCAATATTTCGTCCTATAATCCTACCTATGAGTTGTTGGTGTTCAGAATCGAATCGCTGAGTTTGGGCGTTGCATTTTTTTTTTTTTTTAAATAAAATCTTGTATCAAAAACTTGAATGAGACAAAATTTGGCGTAATCGAATTCACGAAGTTTTGAAAAAAAAAAAAGTTCTCTCAGATTTCAAATAGAACAAACATAACGTCATTGCTCCAGCCATTCGACTTGCTAATCAATGTTGCAACAATCATTAAATCCAAGCGTCCGGTAAGATCGGGTCTGTATAAAGTAGGTCTTAGGTCGATTAGAGCCTCCATTTACGAATCATAGTGTTTTTATAACAAAGAGTTTGAGATTTTTTTGAATTTGTTTGTTCAAAAATTTTCTTCCATAAGGCACTGCATAAAACTACGAGTAACAAGGCTATACGATAGAAAGCTTCTCTCTGAATAATTTTCGATTATCTGTGCTTTCAGTCGAAGTTTTTCAACTCTTTCTCTAGTGTCTTAGAACGCGCATGAACTTTTTTTTCTTGAGGATTTATGATGCACTTTCTGAAGCGAACGAATCAGTGCCGAGTGAACTTTTTATTATAGTATTTCGAGGGATTTGTGTTTATTTATTTATTTTTTTTCTATCGGAGGAACGTGTAATTTTTATACAATTCTTCTGCTAATTAGTCTGCGAACGATCTTTAGAGATCGAGATACTTGAAGTTTTCTTCTAAATCGCACCCGTTAATTCCCTAGTTTTACACAGCGATTAGATGATCCCAACGCATGATCCCGAATTTAAATTAGAGTCCAACGATCATGCACGAGAACTTCACACGACCGGATTTGTGTGTCATTTGTGCACCTTGACGATATATACCATTTGCACCTTTGCTTTTTTTGTCTTTGATGTTTGACATCCGACCGATGAGAGAGTCCTCGCTCACGTGAATTTTGTTTTAAATCCCGACAGGTCTGGTGCTCAGTGACATTATTGAGAAATACTTCGTGTCGCCGACCTTGCTTCGTGTGGTGAGAGTGGCAAAGGTCGGTCGTGTGCTTCGACTCGTGAAAGGTGCCAAGGGTATCCGAACCCTTCTCTTCGCCCTGGCGATGTCGTTGCCAGCTCTCTTCAACATTTGCCTACTGCTCTTTTTGGTGATGTTTATCTTCGCGATATTTGGCATGTCGTTCTTCATGCACGTCAAGGACAAAAGCGGTCTGGACGACGTGTACAACTTCAAGACGTTCGGGCAGTCGATGATACTGCTGTTTCAGGTGACTTTATTGCGAATCTTAAAATTTGTATTTTTTTTTTTTTTTGTTCGTTTAGAAAACACGTGCATATATTTGAGCGATAATTATGTAATGTCGACAGATGTCAACGTCGGCCGGTTGGGACGGTGTTCTCGACGGTATAATAAATGAAGAAGATTGCCAGGAGCCGGACAATGAAGTCGGCTATCCGGGCAACTGCGGCTCGTCGACAATCGGGATCGCGTATCTGCTCTCGTACCTTGTCATCAGCTTTCTGATCGTCATCAACATGTACATCGCCGTGATCCTCGAGAATTACTCGCAGGCCACCGAAGACGTGCAGGAGGGTCTGACGGACGACGACTACGACATGTACTACGAGATATGGCAGCAGTTTGATCCAGACGGCACGCAATACATTAGATTCGACCAACTTTCCGACTTTTTGGACGTATTGGAACCTCCTTTGCAGATACACAAGCCCAACAAATACAAAATCGTGTCTATGGATATCACGATTTGTAAAGGGGATCTTATGTTCTGCGTGGATATTCTTGACGCCCTCACCAAGGACTTTTTCGCGCGGAAGGGCAATCCGATCGAAGAGCCCGACTTAGGCGAGGTCGGGACGCGCGCTCGCCCGGACGAGGTTGGCTACGAGCCGGTCTCCTCCACTTTGTGGCGGCAGCGCGAGGAATATTGCGCGCGTCTAATACAGAACGCCTGGCGGAAACACAAGCAGCAACGTCTTGGCGGGCCGAGCGAAGAGAGCGACGATCCGGACACGGATCTGTGCGCACGGCAGACCAAGGTGCTCGTCGAGAGCGACGGTTACGTCACTAAGAACGGTCACCGCGTTGTCATACACAGCCGATCGCCGAGCGTCACTTCGAGAACCGCGGACGTCTGATTGCCATCGTCGTCGTCGTCGCCGCCGCAGCCGCCGCCGCAGCCGCAGATGCAGCTATCGTCGTCGCTATCGCCGCCGCCGCCGCAGCCACCGCCGCCGTCCGTGCGCCGTAAACCGCTCCACCGCAGAAGCCGCAGCAGCAGCAGTAGCAGCAGCAACAGCAGCAACAGCACCAGCAGCAGCATCGTCGACGACGATGACGACGCACCGTCAGTCGCTCGCACTGCTCGCGCGGAGTAGTGGCCGGGCGTGAGAACCTCGCGTGCGCTCTCCATCGATAGCCTTATAGTTGTATAAAAAAAAAAAAAAAAAAAATTAACATTTCTCCAACGAGTTGCCTTTAATCGACTTTTCAATCGAATACACGACCGTTGGCTGAGAGACACGTCGCTAGACGAGTTAGACGAGCGTCCGTTTAAAAATAAAGAAAAAAAAAAACACGAGGAGTCTTGCGCGGCTGCGTATTACTGTAATAATACCGGTTGTCAAGAAATCGAAAGTGCGCTTTTGGCGTCAAATCTCGCCAAGTCGCGCCGCTCGTGCCGAACACGTGAGGTTTCGACGATCGGCTTTGTTTGTTGTCGCGGCGTCCGGATCGAGAGAATTCAATTCGTGCCACTGTGGACACGGATTTTTATTTAGAAGAGAGAAATGAAGACAGAAAGAGATAAACAAAAATCGACGGAAAACGAGGAGGAACACGAAGAGGATCGAAGCGTCGCGATGTCCTCACGGAGAGAACCGACTTCCCCCCACATCGAAACTCGCGAGGATATTCGCGATATTCGCCTCCTCCGTAGTTTCCTCGTCGATCGATTTTTTCCCGAGTGTGCGTCGACGACGAGCAGCGCATCGAGGTGACGCGCGTGCAAAAAAAGAAAAAAACAAACAAACAAACAAAAAAAGAAAAAACAAGAAAAGAGAAAGGAAAAACAAAAACGTCGCCACAATCTCTGCGACCTCTTTGTCTATACACCGTCTTGTAATATTGTTAGCTCAATCTCGCGAATCTCTATATCCGTTTCGATTTTTTACACCGTTTTACAGCAGAGTAACTCTCCTCCCCCCCTCCCCCGATAACCGCCTATTCGCTGCCGCGCGACGCCTCGTTGGGCGCCGTCGTTGCAAATTCTGTCTGTTCTCTGTATGATTGTGAAGTATACGTGTGTGTGTTGACATTTGACAACAAGAATGTGGCAACGAACGAAGAAGAGATCACGCAGGCGCGAAAGGACGATTACGACGATGACGATGATAATGATGATGTTTAATATCGATGTTATACCGATGATCATTTTCGATTTTAAACGACGAAATGAAGGACGATAGAGAGTTCGCGAAATGAAAGAAAAAAAAAAAAAAAAAAGAAAAGCGCGCAAAAGAGGACTCAATTTTGTGAAGTGATATGTAAGCGTAGCAGTAAAAAAAGAAAAAACTACATTCGCTCGGCTTGCATCTCTCGCGAGAAAAAAAAAAAAACGGTGCGCGAACGCTTGATCGCGCCGCTTGTTTCCGACCCCCTCTCCCAACCCTTCCGGCCCTGCTTGTTTTTTTTTTCTCAGGGTCCCGAGCGTAAGTCACACGTTCGTTTTGATTCCCTCCCTCCAAAAAAAAAAAAAACCGGGAGACCGCACAAAATGAGCGCGACAAAGCGCACACACGCTGCACGCGCGACGCGATGAATCGTTGAATCCTTTGAAAAACAAAAAGAAACCAAAAAGCGCGGTGTTCACTGTGTGGATTTCAAGTGCATCCCCCTCCGGGGAAGGTGTTAACATCGACATCACGTTGACGACTCTCATCTATTTTCCGCGTCTTTTTCGCTTTTTTACGATCACCGTTTGCCGTGTTTGCGAAAACTTTCTCTCCCTCTCTCGCAGAGGCGACGAGTCATTTGTAATATTGTCGTTCCTTTTTCTTCTCTTCGGATCTTCTCACGAACTTAAAAAAAAAAAAACTTCTTTGTCTCTTATTATTACCTAATGCATGTCTGTTGCCTCCGCTCTTCTCGCCGCCCTTTCCAGCACTTCCCTTTCGACCCTTTCGCGTCGCGATCCTCTGTCGCAACGACTCTGAGCGCAAACAATTGAAAAAAAAGAATGCGTATCGGCTTAAAAAAAAAAGAAAAAAAAAATAATAATAATAAATCTAAAAATTGAAGAAACGAAACACAGAAAGGGCGACACGTCTGATGTGCTCTCGGCGATTAACGAACGGCCGAAGGGGACGAAGAAGGAGGGGGAGGGAGGGGGCGCGATTCCGCAGTCATCATCAGCTAGATATTTACACACATTTGCAAGAAAAAAAAACCTTATCACACGCAGTCTTACACGACGTAGTAACAAAAAAAAAACAAAAAAAAACAAAAAAAAAACAAAACAACGCGCTTCGGAATAAATCAATTAAAATACATTCTAGTGTAATATATCGTGTTAAAACGAATAATCGCAAATCGAGTCGCAGTGCGCGTGCGAGCGCGCGCCCGTAAACCCGTCTCGCGTCGCACAACCCGCAAAAAAACGCTGTGGATATTATTATTAAAAATTAAGGGTTGTTGTGTAATTACGATGATACTATTGTAATTTTATTATTGTATCAATGAAAATGCACACACACAATTATATATGAAGCGGAAAATATTCTCGTTCAACACAGACTGGCGCAGTTTTAATTAAAAAAAAAAAAAAAAAAAAAAAAAAAACAAAGGAAGTACTTACTTTGTGTTTATCTGTATAAAATATCTTGATCGCTCCGAAATATACTGCTCTTTCAGTAGCAAGAGTGTTTCACTTCGAGTTCCAAAGTCGCAATCTTAAAAAAAAACCTGAAACGTAACAGGAAAAAAACACTATTTGCGGAATCACAAACGCACTTCCGTGTAAAGAAATTTTTGTTTTATGTACGCGACGAACAAACTACAAAAAACAAAAAAAAAAAAAAAAACAAAACGAGAATTGGATTTTGTGTAGCATTCTCGCTGATTGAACGCCGATGAGAATCCTACGTTGTGCCTTTTGAACAACAGCAATTGAGCTGCTTCTCGATTTTTTCCGAACGTTATCGCACAGTCGGTCGCCGCCGCCGTCGCCGCCGTTTTGTTCTCTTTGTTCGCGAAGACATTCTTCGCTCTCGTTTTCTCGTCGAAGTATTTTAAAAAAAAAAAAAACGTCGTCGGTGTTCGTATTCGCGAATCGACAAGAAAATTAGACGGGTTTACGCACGGAAACTTTCGCGGGGAATCGCGCGCGAAGGTTCGCTTTGAACGCGTCGTCGCGCGTTCGAAGGTCGAGCGACGTCGCAACATCATGACGGAAGGAACGCGGATATTTTGGAGAAACGCCTCCGTGTTTGTTTTTTAATTTTTCCCCCCGGGAAAACTTTCTCCGGGAACATCTGTTTCGAATGTCGCTCGAGAGCGTCATGTCGCAAGAGATAGTATTCTTCTAACATTCGTTAATACTTAACGTAATTGAACGCGTAGTTCGCGTTCGTCTTTCCGTCATGGAAAAACGTTGTCGCGATTCCGCCACGACAAACCAATCATTTGCGCCCGCGCGCAATCTACACACACGTCAGAGCAAATTCGAAACGTGTGTGTTAAATAATTTATATCCAAGCACACGGAGTTAGAGCTCGGAGTTTATTAAAACGCGTGACGACGATGACGACATCGCTAACGACTTTGCAACACACGGTCATGTTCGCAAGATTATACGTTACACATACACATACGTACATATGAATATATATACACGCGCACACACACAGCGAAACACAGATGTTGTACGTGCAGGATAAGAGACAAAAGCAAAAAAAAAAAACAAGGCGCCCGACGTCTTTCTCTTCCTATGACATTTTATTTAGTCAGCTCGAATAAAAACTGCTGTTCCAAGCATATTC